GTGGGTTAAAAATTTATATCTTTGGTATATACATTTTTAAAATTTTTTTGCTTATTGTTGTCTTGTTTTTTTGTTTGAAATGGTGTATGATGGCATTCTCAATGATAATTAAGTCAATATGTACAAATCATAAGGTTAGTATATGTATTATATCAATTTTTATTACTATTAATTTTTGTCTTAAGAAAATTAGAAAAAGATGTTAAATAAAAAATAAAAATTTTACTAGAAATTTAGATTAATGAAATANCAATCCCTTCTCAATATATNGTGGGATTTTCTTACAAAGATATAAGAATGTAATTCAAACTGAATATAACAACATTTATAGGAAATTAGTAATAGTCGGTCTAAAATTTTACATTACAGAAATATAAGTAATATAAATTCAAAAAAAAAATATTTAGCACTTTAATTTATATAAAAAAGGTAATTTTAGATTTTTTCTTCTGATCAAAAATAGTAAATAATAAAATTAACTTATTTCGAAAAAAATTTCATACCCGCACAAGATGCGGGTCAATCACCTAGTGACAATTAATCACCTTCAAATTTTGTTCGTCTTATTGGTAAAAAGATTGACAATTTGATAATGAGGTTTACTCTAATTCTCTAGGATATATTTCCAAAGACTTATTAAATATTTGAAGAAGACTTTCACCATATGAATTGGATTTGGATGTGAGACCATAACAAAAAAAATTTCTAATGTGATTGAAGAAACAAATTCAAATTATAATAAAAACACAGCAACCTGAAGAAAGACTAATGTGTTTAATCTGTGAACCGGTAACAAGTCGAATGGACATCACAACCTCGTCGGTATGGGTTATCCGGTCGATCAGTTTGACCACGTCTCTTATCTGGTACGTTCTTCTTCAATGCATCATAGCTTATATATCTCGACGCTTGAAGAATCCTATGGCTTGCATCCAAACCTGATCTCATGATCTTCTTCACGATCACTTCTTCTCCACCGTCCATGCAATTCCCACCCAACCGGTCACATTTTACCTGTCGAGATCGGACCAACTCTGGAAATAAAGCCGCGGAGATGATCACGGCGATGATCAAGAACTTCATATAATTCATCATGGAGAGTACTCAAGAGAAAGTAAAATGGAGACTGAAAGATTTGATTAGTTAGGGTTTAATGTGTGATTAAAGACCCGGTTAATCTACAGTTTTATAATGCTTCGTATTTTTTAGGTTCATTTTTTGGCAACATATTCATTTCTTTCTCAATGCATGGTTCATCGAATATTTGACTATTAAGTAATTTTGATTTTTCTCTTTTGAGTAAAAATCTGGTCTTCATACACTAATTGTAGAAACATAATCTTGATTCACTGGACTTGCTTTGATCAAATGAAGAAACAGTGAAATTAAAGTCAACGCGTATAATTATTTATTAACCGGTCAAAAAATTATAATTTTTTTCCATATAGATACATTTATTATTCAACAAAACTAATGGGATGTGTATTTACCAAATTGAGGGGATGCAATGGATCATGAATTTGGTGGAACTTTAAAAACTTTTATTGGTCATTTGACTTTGATAATGATTATCATAAATTCTTAATTAAGATGTAAAAGAACTCGAAATTAACATGAAATAAACAGAAGAAAAATTATGTAATTTAGGTGAATCAAAGACACGTATGGATTTTATTGAATAATGTAATATGCTAACTTTGCTTTTATTTTTTATTTTTTTGGCAAAATAACTTTGCTTATTTCATAGTTTTATTATGTTATATACGTAAACATCTCAAATCAAATGTATGCTAATTTAATACATTGGAGTGCACAATCTATTATAAAAATTTAAGATTATTCTCATAAGAGATTGAACCCCCTATTTGATCATTTTTTTAAAAAAGATCATTTTCTTCACGTTGAATTTCGAATAAAAATTTAATTCGATATCAAAATATTAAAAGATTAATATGAGCTTTTAAAATATTAGCATCAGTGTTCTAAAATGCGCTAGGCGCTTACTAGGCGGCGAAAGGAGGCCTAGCGCCTAGTCGTATAAGCGGGAGTATAGGCGG